TGTTCATTCTTCAATAATATTCATCCATTTTTGGTGTTTACTGAAGTGAGCATAAGTGGAGATAAATGAATTCGAAATTTTAATGGCACAGCTACTGTACATTATGGTGCGTCGGTTCTGTTTTGAAATGTGAAATGCCACTTTGAATCAGATGATCCATTTAATTTACGCTTTAGTTAGCTCAAAGCATTAATTTAGATGAAAGAATCTTCTTGGCATTGTCTATTTCTTTTTTGCTTTTGTTGTCTCTTTACTTACGCCAACTCGTTCATTTTTGATGCTGTCGACTTAATATAGATAAAACGAATCTTTGCGTAAAATATTGCGTTTCATTTCTCTATCACTTGGTGCTTCGGTGCATTTGGCTTTCGACCATACATAAATGGATTCAAAACACACATCAAACGAACGAAACCGTTGGAAAATAACATTTTTTAATTGTGTGTTGCTATTTTATCTGATGGATATTTCCTTTAATGTGGCATCAGCTTATTGCTCCTTGCAAAAAAACAAGTAACGTATGCGAAGTGAAAAATCCAAGTAAATAAAGAGGAGAAAAAAAATGAAATGGAAAGAAAAGGAATTGGAAACAATGTTTCATGTTGCAAAAATTTGTTTTTCGCCTCTTATGTGAGTGCAGTATCGAAATGAATAAACGAAAATGAATGAGTGAAGTAAACAAAAGCGGATTCGGTCGGGCGTGCATAGTATGGTGTCGAATGGCGGCACTGTTTCGATGGATATATGCATATTTTGAATTGTATAAAAGAAAGCGGAGACTCGTCGGTGATGAATTACCGACAAAATGAAATGACAACCATACAAGCACACATACTTTATTTAATTGACCTCGTAGTTTATTACTTGTGTTTTGGTTTTCAATTGCATAATGAATGAGCACTAGCGAATACGAGTGTGTGTGATGGCACATATGGCATGGCACAAAAACAACACGACACAGAAGACTAAATATAAAATGAAGAAAGCGAAACGAAAAATAAACTTCACTCATTCATAGTTTTTTTTTTTTGTTTCTTCCAAATACATTGTTCTTTTCCCTTTTGTCAATTTCGGTGAGTTGTTTACATTGTACGCGCAGATTTATGCCGGAATTTCAATTGGATCCCAAGAGAGAATGAAGTGAAGAGAGAGGCGGAAGAGAGATAGAGAAAGAGAAAAATAGAGCCAAAAATAGAATTTGCATCATTAATATCAGTACTATATTCTCTGATGAACCATTCAACCGTGACATTTTTGGTTTTAACAGCCAATTGTATTGTAATCGATTTTCGTTCGATTTGTAACGGTCGGCTATTGACCACCGCACACCGAATACAATCCTTTTTTTTGTTGATAAATCAATAAATTACCAAATTTATTCGGAAATAAAGCTGAAATATCTCAACAACAATATTTACAATTTGTTAAATACCTAAAATTCTGAATTTTTCTATTTATACACATGAATAAATATGGCCAATATTTTCATTGAGTTTTTTGGTGCGGGGTTTATGGATGAAATTGCATTTTCCATTTTTCGGTTTGCCATCAATACACAAAATCCATTTGGTTTTGTAACCAAATTGAATTTGCAACGCCAATTCCACGAGACAGCGACGGATATACTCATTTATTAAAGTTTCAAATGTTATTTTTTTACCCTATCTATCGCTCTTTCGCGCCCATTCATTCAATTTCATCAAAAATTCACCGATGACCTTTTCCACACATTAACTGCGTGATTTCAAGATTATATTTATAAAGCGCACCACAAACGATTCGCCAATTGGACTTTGATTTAATAAATCAAGAAAAATTACCGTGTGAAAATTACTGTGACTTTCTCATAATTTTTGTTTTTTTTTTCGCTCGCTGTATGCGTGTGTCATCTTTTAATTTCACAAATGAATGAAAATGTCTAGCAATTTGTTCAAAAATCAACGTGCCAGCCAAAGTGCTTCAGTGTGTTTTAATGAATTCACCTACGTCTGTTTATTTGTTTGTTTTTATTTCAACCACACCTTTCAATACACGCTCTTTTAAAAAATAGTATAAATTCGTTTTTTCTCCATTGTCGAATCGAAAACGTTGAGTGTTTCGAGCAAAAGTAGTTATTGCGTTTTCTTTGAGCCAGTGGCGAGCGAATTTTTCTTTTTCATTCCCGTTCGTTCCATGCAGCGTCGACGTTGCAATATTTCAAAACAATGGAGCATTTTAATCTTATCGCTGAATGTTATCTCGATATTAGTTGGCAAATTGCGTAGTGATAACCGTCGTTGTTGTTTTTTTTTTTTTTGGAATGTTTGTGAAAAATGAAAGATGATTACTCAACCACGCGTTTTATCAAATCGAATCGTAAGTCGTTAGCGGCCCTTTGCGTTGATTAAATCGCATTCGAATTTGGGCTGGTACGCTTTCGAAGGCAACATAAGTTAGTTTCATTCGATTTCTCACAATGAACACATTGAATTTCATCACTTGAAATTCCAGCGCTCGCGACATTTTCTTTGCAAATCAATTTGAATCTAATCAAAAATTCAAGCGTCGTTGTTGTAATTCAATAGAAAAAAAAGGTCATCAAAACACGTTGTTGTCGAAGCGCAAGTTCATCCAATTGTTATATGTGGTTTAATTGTTATTATATTATGAATGACAGTGTGGCGTCGTGCAGTTGCAGCCAGCTGACAGTGGCAAAACGCAAATGTCAAGTGTAATCATTTATGACTCAAACAACTGGCATTTCATTGCAATTTCAACGATCAAAGCAGATTCTAAACTTTGTAGCCCATTTAGGAACACTACGCAATCATTCGCTCATTCCATGAAGAAAAAACCGTTCATCGGGTTTCATTGGTTCGATAACAAGCAATTACAACGTGTTTGAATTCTTTTTTCGTCATAAAAACGTTTATTGATACAGCGCACGCAGTGAAAACGAAACATATACAAAAAAAATCCGAGCTCCACGAGTAAAACGAGAGAATTAAAAAAAAAACACATACACACAATATGTGACATGCAATCAAATAGGTTAATGGAACAATGAGAAAACTTCGAATTGAGACAATTTAACGTCGACGAGAAAAAACAAAAATAATAAACAGTGTGGGCATTTGGTTTTTGTTTATTCAATTTTGTCGGTATTTCATAATGCACCAAGGTGATTCGAAATAGAGAGAGCGAGAAAGAAAGTAATAAAAAGCAAAAGAGAGAACGAGAGAGAGGAGAACTTCAAATTATTTGCCATTCAAATGAATTGCCCCTAATTGCAACGGGCACGAACGCGAAAAAGTCACCAAAAGAGACAGAAAATTATCCAACATCAAATAGTTTAGCAAAAAATCAAAATAAAATGTTTAGTGTGAAATTTAAAGTAAAAGATGGTGGAAATTCATTGCCAAGGCCATCATCGCGCTCATCCCAACGTTCATCATCTCCATCGAGCACACGAACGCAACGTTCACGTTCGGCTGATCGTACGAAAATTACAAAAATCACGAAAAATGGCAAAACAATAACGACCGTTGTCGACGGCAAAGTGACATATGGTAAATTGTGTGCACCTTTTATACAGTGGGCGCTGAATCGCTTGCGATACGCAAATTAAAGTGTCATTTTAGTCAACGTAAACAATATATAATGACGTTAATTGAATTCGCGTTTTGTGTTTTACTTGGATTTATTTGATAATAATAGATTTGCCCGGTTTGGTTGTGTGTATGCATCGGCATCATTGTGCGAGAATCGTTGTACTCTAGCATCCAAACGACGTGCAATGCCGATTTGAAACAATGATGCGCCTCAAAATTTCGATGTGTATGTGTGATGAGTTGAGTCTTTTGTTATTTATTGGGATATAAACTCCGTGCGATTTATCCCATTTGATTACTAATTTCAGCATGTACATTCGATAGATCACGGAGCACACATCGATGTGAATTTATTTCAAGGCTATACATGATATCCAAGTGAAAATGTAATGCGTCGTAATTATGGGAAAATTGGATAATAAACTTTATACGCAAAAACTCAGAGTTAGAATTTGTAAAATGCATGTTATCGTGCTGAGAAAATGTTGTGATCCAATCAAATGAACGAGATGAGAAAGGCGAAAACGAAACAGTTAACAAAAGTAACGACATTCCGTCAGTAACAGCAGCTTAACGCAATTTTTGTGTGTCAATGCTATTTCGGCGAATATATGATTTTTATCCAAATGCTACTTATAACACAAATCATATGACATTATGGAAAACGACTTTTGTGGTTTTTGTCTGTCTGATGTCATTACTTTACATTTATTTTTCACGGTTCAACATTTGAATAAAAAAAAAGTCAGCACGGTAATTTTTTAAAGAGAGAAAGAGGGAGAGAAATTGAGATAGAGGTCTACAATTTAATTATTCGCTAACGATACTCTAGAATAGATGCGTATTTTTGAAACCAAATTCGGTTAAGTGGCTGCAAACGAGCATCGAACACCTTAAAATCCCAAATATTTTCTGTCGCTGCTGATGCAATAACACACGATTGAGAGCATTTACATGTGTAAACATTTGTTGAGCATGCAGGTTTCGCTGATTATACGTACATACATTTTTTTCTGTCTCCATTTTGCATCGTTGTATAAAACATTTTTACCTTATTTTACGGTTTAATGACATGATCAAACGACAGAATTTAGTTTTAATTAAAGAACTTTGTGAAATCACACACCGCAATTGACCCAATTACATGGTGGATACACTAAAAGCTATTAAAATGAATAAGTAAATGTTTGCAAACGGTGTTAGTGTGTGTGTATGTAATGTCCATCGCATTTTGAATTATGTGCCATCGGTTTCGGCATCCTATACACACAGTCACTGCGGCTATTCGACATTTCCAATAACACACAAAACGGCGATTTCGAGTTGCTAAAAGTCGACATATGTTACGAGAGTAGTAGAATCTAATAAAGTGGTTTGCATTCCAATATCTTTCTTTTTTCTTTTCCGCAGATGCATTGGACGGTTTAACGGAGTTGCGAACAGAAAACTATGAAATTCACATTGAAAGAACGTCAGCTGGTTTGGGTTTGAGTATTGCAGGTGGTAAGGGCTCAACGCCGTACAAGGGAAACGATGATGGTATATTCATTTCGCGTGTGACAGAGGGTGGACCGGCCGATTTGGCTGGTTTAAAAATTGGCGACAAAGTCCTAAAAGTGAATGGTGTGTCAGTCATCGATGCCGATCATTATAATGCGGTTGATATATTGAAGGCTTGTGGATCGGTGCTAGTTTTGGTTGTACAACGCGAAATAACACGTTTAGTTGGACATCCGGTGTTCACACAAGATGGGTCGCTGGCACAGATTGCCATTTCAAATCGATCGGCAAATCCAGCGGTCACAGTTCCAGTACAGCAACAAACCGTCGAACAAATCATTAATACAAGCGCAAAATCGATACCATCACCCATTCAAATTCACAATGAACAACAGCAACACGTTGAACACTTATCCACACCGCATTCCAATGGAATTACTGAAAATGGACGGGTAATTTTCCACATTTTAACCATAAATTGAACTTTGTAAAAATGCTATATACATATATGTATGAAATTCACTTTTGGCTTCTCCAACTGCCACAAGTGTCGACGTCATTCGTTCAACATTTTTTTCATTGTTCCATTTTTCATTTTGTTTTTTTTTTTGTTGTTGTTGATGTTTTTAAATTATCTTTTGCTGTATCTCCAAAACTGCAGGAAATCACACATAAAATAACATTGCACACAACTTTGATAAGGGATCAAATCGGTCAAGGTTTGGGTTTCAGCATTGCCGGTGGAAAAGGCTCACCACCATTCAAAGATGGATCCGATGGCATTTATATATCTCGCATTACCGAAGGCGGACTTGCGCATAGAGATGCAAAAATTTTAGTCGGCGACAAAGTGTTGGTGGTATGTTTTCCATTTAAAATGTGCAACGGTACGCAGTGTGGCCCACTGCATTCGCCCACACAATGCACAATAACGAGGCGCTTTGAATCTTAAATGATGATAATATTTTTATGACATTTTTTTAATCAATTTTCTCGTATATCTTAGATAAATGGCGTTGATATGACGAATGGAACACATGAAGCGGCCGTACAATTGTTAACCGATCACCAGCGTTTTGTGCGTTTGGTTGTACAACGCGAAGTGAAAGGACCATTGGAACCACCAAGCCCACATAGTCCATCGTATTTGAAAGGTTTAAGTCCATCGGGTTACATGGCAAATCGTCCCGGATACAAACGCCCCAGCATTTCAAGTTTCGTTGAATCACCCACTGCCGAATCATTGAAAACGGTCATTTCGAATCCAGCATCACCAGTTGTGCCACAACAATTCAAATCAAATACACAAAGTCCAAGCACACCGACCAGCGGTAAAACAAATGGCATTGGCAGTTCATCACAACCAGTGCCCGCACCTAGACGGCTCACTTCACTGAGTTCGGTCGGATCGGGTATTAACGGACAATCAAATACACAAAATGGCAATCGATCCGAAGACGATGATGTACAGGTAATTTCACACGCTGACCTTCTCATTATTGAATGCAAGAGATCACATTTTTTTCGCTCGATTTTAAGTGGAAACTTGTGTTATCGAGATTAATCTTCTACTGTTCAATTTTTGGAGAACAATTTGTTATGAAGGAGGACACTTTTTAAAAAATTATAAAAAAAAAAAAATGTAAAATTTCATTTTATGACGCTCTCGCGCAGTAAAGGGTTAATCGAATTTATAAATGACTGATGATTTAAATATAATAAATCGAATGCAACTGGAAAAGATGACAAGATAAACATAAGATGTCATGGTACCAGGTAGGTATTTACCGCATGAAATAGCATGGATTAACAGGTAATTATGTGTGATTTAAATCTTCAGTCAATGTAATGTTAGTAGCAAATTTAAAAAAAATGTGATCTCTTTGAATTTATGATTATATCAAGTGCTCACACGTTGGTTTACCTTCGATTGATGTTAATTTCGGTATGCCCATTTGAATTTATAGTGATTTTGATACAAAATTAAATTCAAAATTTGCTCCACACCCCAATTTCGATTGGATTTTGGTGGCAACCTTAAATTTATAGCAATCAAATTGAACCGGCGTGCACTTGATGCATATACATTTCATAAATATTTATTTCTTGTATTTCGTTCGAATTCATCTCTATATTATTATTTTGTGGCTAACATATCAACTCGATACCATTTTTCGCCAACCACAAATGAAAACACATATTCGACAAACATTTTTTTTTCCTTTTTCAACATTTCCGTTCCTCCCCCTTTGTTCTCTTTCTCTGCATTTCTCATCATAATATTTTATTCAATTAAAAAAAAAACCAATGAATATGCAATTTTCATGCGTTAACGAGTAGAACGCTAGATTTAGTTTTCATACTGCACAACTACTCTCTATAATTTTATATTATTTTGTGTTGTGATTTCATATATTTATTTACTTGTGTTGTCAAACCGTATTATTTTCATCGGTGGCTATGTCATGATTAAATTATGTTTTTTAAAGCAATCTCTATCTCCATTTTCGATTCACTCATTTTCTGGGTGCTTTTCACGCGTTTTTCATTCCAGCAACAAACATAAATTGCATCCAGCAAAGTACAAACGTCAATTTAAGCCTTTTTATCTATGATACAATTCGATTTATTATATGCTTGCATGCATATTTGCTTTCGAATATAAATTGGTTTGATTAAATTCATTTATTTATGAAATTTTTGGTGGAAAAAATCGACAGCGATTTATGCACTGTAGGCACATTGCAGGATTCAATAATTTAAGGGAAAAAAATCAATTAAGAGGTTTTTGAAATAGAAATTAGGACAAATGAACCATAGAATCTAATCAATAATCATAGACCCGCGCAGCACTAACCAATGGATCACATACGCTTAAGATTAAACCGAAGTAGGCTGAAGAAAATCATACATCCTCTGAAACAAAAATGCTCTGCTCCAAACGAATCCTTGTTCACATTTCAATTGGAAATTTGGCTACTATAACTCTCCTCGCTAGTAAATCGTACACAATATGAAAAATGCTCCTCTCAATCTGTATCTCTTTGCACACATTGAACACTCTCTAAATTCATTCACTGTTGTTTTTTTTTTTTTTTCAATGAGACATCGATTGGCTTGCGAGAGCCGGCGATGTCACCACTGAAAATCGCCGAAGCAAATTTCAAAAGTTTGAATACAAAACCACCAAGCAAAAAAAAAAACCTCCAATGACCAAAAACTCTCTGTATATGACCATTATTTATAGGCATCAACACAACGACCATTAACAAGTGAAGATTTTCAAGCCATGATACCGGCGCATTTCATAAGTGGCGGCCAACCCGACTACGTTTTTGAAAAGCATGAACAAGGGCCATCGGTCACGGTCACAGTTAAAAAAGGTGTTCCAGATATGCCAATGTTGCCGCCAGCACCAACTGAATTGGGCAAAGTTACTGAAACGATAACCAAATCAACATTCACTGAAACGGTTATGACACGAGTCACCGACAATCATTTGGGCGAAGCTCTGATTAGCGAGGTGAATATTAGACGCTAGATGGAATATAGCGCACACCAACACATACATATACAATTCTCTCTCTATCTCTCTGTCAATTCACATTTTCAAAATGGTTGCAGAACAAAAAAAAATATAATTAAAAAAAAAATAAACAAGCAACAAAAGATATATATAGTTATAAAAGAGCGACGCGACGTTCTATCTGTGTGTACCAAACACGAAGAACAAAAGAAACATGTTTTGAGAAAAAAAAGAAGAAGAAGATAATCGTGAAACAAGTAATCGGAAACGATGTCGTTATTGCTCTTTCAATTAGTGTTTTATTGCATTTTATGGTTCTTTTATGTTTGCAAATCTTATTGTAACTCTATTTCTCTCTGTTTGTGGTTTATCTCTTATATTTTTTTTTGCACTTACTTTTGTTACGCTATTTTAAAATCGTTTCGTTTTAGTTTATCCCTAGATTAAGTATTGTAAATTGTTTTTTTTTGTATCTTCTTAGTTTTTTATTATTATTTAATTTGCTTGAAGTTTAGTTATCCATTTTTGATATGAGTTTTCTTTTTTTTTAAATAATTTTTTGAGTTTTCTCTCTCTCGGTTGGCTATTTAGTTATAATGCAAAAAAGAAATAATTTAATATTCAATTGTATTCAGAGATGGTTCTTGAGGAGGAGAAGGGGGAGGTGGAATAATGAGGTGGCAAATGAGGAGCGAGAAGGGGAGGACCCTCCCCATGGTTCTCCCTTCATCTTCTTCGTTTGTCCCCCACTATTTTCCCTCCTCTGAGCCAGAGTAACAGTCTCCGATTGTAATATCTTTGGTTGGATAGATTTTAAGTTAAAATTGTTAGGAGCGTATAGAATTTAAAGTTATAAATCAAAACTATTTACAAAAGCTTTAATGAATCAACCCACTCGAAAATGATTCATGCTGTAAGGAAAAAAAATGAGAGCACAAACATAATAGATACAGATGACTCAGATTCTCGAGCACAGCTCTTACGTTTCAACCAACCCGAAAACATGAACATGCTGTGCTTACATAATAACCAAAATATCCTTGAACTTGAAAATTCTCTCGTTTTTTCCTCTCTCTTCTCGCTCGCATTTAAACGGGAACTTGACTCGTTAATAATCCATTAGTTTTGATATTCTCTGCTTCGTCATAAAATTTTATACGGCCATTCTTTACGTAGAGAAACCGAAAAAAAAGCTCGAGCACATTCAATTTTCCCGATACCTGGTCGAGCGCACCACACAAAACATGGTTGAAATTCTCAAGAGTCTTTTGTGCAAAATTCTGTGCATTATCATTCAAGTAACGAAATACGACGGTGAAGCGATAAAAAAAACGTACGGAAATATTACTCTACCACGTAAAACGTAACAAACACCAAATAACAATAGAAAAACCAAATCGTATTTGTAAACGCTTAAAGTGCTTCAGGCGTATATAGAATAGTATGCGGTTGTAATAGTCAATTTCTAAACATACATTTAATTTTCGGAAAGTCGATTTTCGTAATTTCCTCTTCACCAGAAATTCAACATTCATTTTCAAGAGTATAAAGTTTTTTTCCGTTGTAAAATAGTTGTGTACTTAAGAAGAAATTCACAACAATCGAACCATATTTTCGACAATCGAATCGATTTTCTACTTGATTTCGGTGTTTGTTATAAGTTTTTCCTACTTTAAAGAAATTACAAATTCCCATAAATTTTGCGATGAGATAAAATACATTCAAGTTTTAATTGCGTTTTATACACACCACATTCGAAAGAAATTCAATACAAACAGCGAGAAACGCGAAAATTTATGAATGAACGGCGCAAGGTTGAAAAACAGCCAACAACATATGTGTGGAATTCGATTTATTTGAATATAAATAAATCTCAATGAAATTCGTAATATGCAAATTACGGCAATATGAAAATATTTTAATGGATAATTTTAAATGCCAGTTAATTATGAAATTATTCGGTTTTTATCAGATTTAATATCGACATACCGTCGAGCCAAACGCTCGGAATTTTTGATTTATGCCGTCTGTCATTGAAAAATAAAAAAAAACATCACGCGAATACACAAGTGCCGATGGAGCCATTTAAATACGACCACACCGTGCAGATTCGCATATGGAGTATAGATGAAAATATAAACCATTAAGAATATCTATTATAGTTTGAACAAAAGTCAGACACTTGAGACCTCAAAAGGATTATTATTGAAGAACTAAACAAAAATATCGTTCGTGGATCGTGTACATAATACAAACCGCAGATTGTAAATACATATAATTTAGATGGTCATGTGAAAGGGTTAAATACGAATTGGAATAAGTAATGTGAAACTGAGATCAGCGAAAAGTCGGTGTGCCATGTCAATTTATTTTTCCCGTTGCCTGAAGTTATCCTTGAGATTATTAAATGATGATTTCGGAAAATTCCATATGTTATTCGCTCGCAATCGTTTGCAAAAAAAAAGTTTCGGCGAAGAAAGAGAGTATCTACTATAGCGATTTATAGATTTCGGAAAGCGATTTGAAATTTTAACTTTCACACAAATCCATGGCTTGACTAAATGTTGGCTCTTTAGATTTAAACACTCGTACATCACACACACACATCGCCTCGATGTGTATTATATTCTTAGTAGGGTACGGTTAGAAGGTTAGACCATTAATTTAATGGAAGTGGAGACGATGTAATCCAACCAAAGGAGAGATGGTTTGTCTCGGGATGTTCGTTTGTTTGTTTTTTTTTTTTTGGTTTGGTTTTTGCTTCATTGGTTCAGATTTTTGCTTCTCTTTATTATTTTCTCACATTGTTTTTCATTTATCACCCAAAACATATACATGTAGATAAATAACGCGCACCCATTCTCATTCATTTCATTGCACATACACAAATCACACGGACACCATTTCACAAAAGTTTTATCGCTTTATATTTTGTTTTATTTATTCGTTTTATATTTTCGGTTATAATGGAGCACATTTTTGTTTTATTGTAGCTTCGCTTATCTGCTATTTGCACACTTTGTCTTATTCGGTTTGCTTCGTTTCACCATTATTTGTGCAATTGTGCATTTCGATCGGTTCTCCTTTCATTCACTTACTAGCCTGTATCTATTTACTTTTAGCTCTAGTTATATGTGTGTTTCATTTTTATATGACCTCATCACAAAACTTTTCTGTTTTCATTGAAATTAATTTTTGTTGTTGTTTTGGTTTCTATTTTCTTTCTCTTTTTTTCTCTATCTATATCTTGGTCTTTTGCAGGAAGTCATTTTGCCGAAGAATAAAGGATCGCTTGGTTTCAGCATCATAGGAGGCACTGACCACTCATGTGTGCCATTTGGCGCCAACGAACCTGGCATTTTCATATCACATGTACGTATAAATTCCATTGAAAATTGTATGAACGCACCGGATGCACTGCATCCATAGAAACAGATACATCGCCGACAGAATTCCGTAGAGAAAAATTGTTGCTCGTTTCAAGTCTACGGTTGAAATTGATTGTCGTGAATTGCAAATATGCCCGAAACGATCATTAGAAACTAGTGTCGTTTGTGACTTTTACTGATTTTTTATTCACATTCCTCTCTCTCCCTTTCTCTTTTGCAAACTCTATCCGACTTTCTCCATTTACTTTTAAATGTAAATGGTAAATTGTTGTGAAAATTCCATGCTCCCTTAACAAATGAGCCATTTTACTTGGAATGCACATCAAACCGAGAAAAGGACTCAAAACGAGAGAATATATTTTTCGAGTTTAACTGCCATTTCAATTTCTGGTATATTCAATTCGTTCGGGATTAACTTGTCTTTGTTAATTTTATTTTGTGATTTTTGAAAAAAGTTTTCCACATTTCACCGGATCCGGTGAGATACCACCATTCACGCTCCATGTTGATGCTCTCAATATCGTACAAAGTAAATTCATTTGACATAACTTTGTGTTTGATTTAAATTGTTCTAACTTTTCCATTTGTGTTGAGATTAATGTACGATGCATGCAACAACGGCATTTTCAATGGCCAAATGTATTTCCAACGAATGAAGTGGTGGCACAATTTAAACGAGACAACACAAATTTTTCCCTCGAACAAAACTTTAGAGATGCACACACACAAACTCGAAATGAAAATGCATTTTCAACATGTATTATATCTATTGCATTCTCCCACAATAGCGATTCCATTTGTCTTGCATTCACTTATGTACCATGCTCGCTCGGTCGCACATATCCCAGTTTAAATTTAATAGTAAACTCAATCTTTTATATACACTTTTACCGTACTTACTACTTTCAGGTCGTTCCTGGTGGCGTAGCTGCTGATTGTGGTAAATTGCGAATGGGAGATAGACTATTGAAGGTAAATGACATCGATGTTACATCAGCAACACATGAAGAGGCTGTTAAGCAACTTTTACGACCTGGCGATGAAATAAAATTAACAATTCAACATGATCCGCTTCCGGTTGGTTTCCAAGTAAGTATCTGAGAAAACGAAGAGAAAATTGCGGACAATTGGTGGTTGTATTACTTTAATTCATTCGTATTATATTACGTCGAGTATTTTTGCGGGCGCTATTTCCTTTTTCGCCGATAAATGCGCCTCCCTCTCTCTCTCTCGTACTTTCGTATATGTTTGAGCGTGACTTTCCCACATCGCTCCGGTTGAAGATCAGTTTCTTTGCCATTTGTTTTCTTTTAGCGCCTTTTCTTTGTGCGATGAGCGAGAAAAAAAAGCGAAACTCCAAAATCTCAAGTGCATAAATAAATTATTATAATAAAAGGTGCTAGTGATTCTTAAGTTTTTTTTTATGTTTTTTCGGTGGTCTTGCCACCGAATTTAATTTTGTTGCGATGCCAAATATAATTCACTCTCATACACTTCATCCTTTCCAATTTCTATCCCGCCTTACTGCTGGTACTAGTGGTATATGGCCGTTGTCGTTCGACATGAATTACAACATTTTTTATAATTTTCACTTTTCTCCTGTTCTTAAGCTCTTATTCTTTCCGCTCAACCACTTACTTTCCTTTTTTATTTTTCGGCCGCACAATTTTTGAGATTTCTTTGTATTGAATTCAAATAGTGCGCGCCATTGGCACATATATTGTATATACATATATAAACCGCTTATAGCAATACCCCGCATTTCTTCACTAATGTAATCATGCTAGGCAAATATTTTAAATCACATTTCATTGAAATGAGAAACAATTTTTTCTTTTCTTTTTTTTTTCTATGTTTTTTCGTGCTCTTTTTCTCTTTTCTATTTGAACACATTTGTTCATAATTTTTTTTCTCTCTCTCACTCTGCCCGTTCACTAAATTAAACTAAAAAGCTTTTCGAAATAGAAAACTTAAAAACAGAGGTACGTAAACGGTGGTTAAATTACACGAATCATCGTGAATGCATTTGGTCTAGTTTTCGCATTTTGTTTCCTTTCATTTTGCCTTTTTTCCTTCCTCTCAATAGCAATTCTTTCTTTCACCTTGTTTGTGAAGCCATTCTTTTCTTAAATTCTTTGGTTTCTAGTGTATGCGTGCGCGTGTGTGTGACTTAGAGTCTTGATTTTGATTTTTTCTTTCGTTCGTGTTTAAGTGTGCGATTTCATTCTATTTTTTTTTTCAAATCTTTCAAACTTCAAATTAAAAGAGCAGACATGAAAATAGAGAGAACTGAAGCGTATCATTTGCGATGCAATTAGGCGAATCAGTTCCATGTAATGCTATTTGCGCTTCGCATTTTAGTACAATATTTTCCTATTATCTCACGTCGCATGCATTTTTCATATACGTTTGCTTGTATTTTTCCTCGTTTTTATACTACTTTTTTGCGTTCCATTATGTTTTTTCTTTGTTCCAGCTATCAAATCGATTTCGAAACTTTTAGCCTTTAAACGTGTGTGAACTTACAATGCATATTTTTTCTGTCGACCTGGCGCTGTCTATCTATAAAAATAATATTCCTTCTCTTCTCAACCAAAATTCGTAATGTTTTTTTCTATATATGTGTGTGCCTCTCTCTCTCTCTCTCTGGACTTTTGAATAGTAGTGCATGCAAATTTTTGAAACCCAACCATATTAATGTTTCAATCGGTCTTTCCCTTCTTTTCCGCATTGGCCACTCGCTCTCTCTCACTAACTTCGATGTTCAATTTGTTACATGGACGTGGATGATGATGGTGCAGAATATACTATTGGTGAAAAATGAGAACGAACGGCTTGGTATGCATATCAAAGGTGGTTTAGGCGGTCAACGAGGCAATCCTCTCGATCCGAATGATGAAGGTGTTTTCGTGTCAAAAATCAATTCAAGTGGTGCAGCACGACGTGATGGACGACTAAAGGTACGTATTCCCCCCGCACACACGCATAGAATGTGTGCAATTCATCAAATTCGAATGTGTATTTTCGATCGATATCGGCACCGCATGCGGTGTGGCAAAACGCGTTTATCGAAAGAACTGCGAATAAAAAAAACTGAATTTGACATATGGCAAGTGTGGAATTGAAAATTATCATTTGAAATTGAATTGCAGGTCGGTATGCGTATATTAGAGGTAAATGGAACTTCGTTGCTCGGTGCTAGCCATCAGGATGCTGTGAATGCATTGCGTGAAGCTGGCAATGAAATCCAGATAATCGTGTGCAAAGGCTACGATAAATCTAGTTTGATACATTCGATTGGTAGTGGCGGTGGCATGAGCACCGGCTTCAACAGCTCATCCAATCGCCTCGGTTCAAGAGCATCGGAAACTGGATCCGAATTGAGCCAAAGTGTATCAAGCCTAGATCGAGATGATGGTGGTGTTGATGATTCTTCTTTGCCCATTGCATTGGTAAGCAGATTTAACTAATTGCATTTCAGTCTCCGGACGTACAAGTCGGACACACCAGTTGAAACATTAAATATTAATCAAATACGATTGGTTTGTGATTGATTGTTTCGTTTTTCTAGACAAATGACAATGTATTCGAAAACAGTGGCAAAGACATTGCACGCATTCACACACCTGAGCCACATAGCGAGTCAAATGTTGAACGAGTTTCCGAAACATCGCAAGATGTTGCGCTGTTAAACTCCGAACAAACATTAGTCAACACGAAAGAAAAGAGCACAAAAGATAAGGTAGGTTACTACAGTATGATTACAGCATATGGGAACGAAAGACAGCAAAGAAAAAAATAATTTACAAAATTATCACAGTGGTGATTCACAATCGTCAAGCTGTGGTTTTCTTTTGCAAAATTGAAAATTGCTCAAATGAAAACAACATTTTACCACGTAGAAATTGAAAACTAAATATATTTGATTGAAGGTTCTGGACATTGTTCGTGCCGCCGAGTCATTAGCCTTAGGAACACATATGTCAGATAGCAATGTGAATGCTGAGCTTGTCAGTCATCCTCCAAAATCGCCGGTCGAGCATGAAGATAAAATGCATAAAACAACTACGATTGTGATGTCGGCACACACATTGGACACTCAGCCACAGGTATGTGCTCCGTTTTAGTATCAATTTTAAACAAATTCACACCACCTGAATGTTGTTCAATTTTTTGATATATATCTAATACGTAATTCCCATTTTTAATCACTCATTTCATATTTATACGTGTCTGTATGTTTGTACATTCGATCGTTAATCGGAACGTTAATCGAAACCGACCATCTTTTTTTTGTTTGTTTAATCAACTAGTTCAATTCACAGAGCGTTTAGTGTTTATTTTATTCATTGTGTCTTTTATTTTAATAAATATCATCAAATAATTCACAATTCATAGAATATTCTTGTGTTGTCACAACGTTTTAGTAATATACATTTTATATACGTGCATCAATATATTTTTGTCGTTTGCATTCAATTCACATTTTATTAGAATCACAAATCTCATATTATAATATAATGTAAAACCCCCCCCGGGTCTGAACACAGATGTGTGCATGTCTATGTACTGCACTGCACGAGCTTGTCCGTATTTATTCATTATCCATGTTTTGTGTGTACCATGCATTCAATTGATCATTAACACCATTCCATGCACCGTTTAGAAATTACAACGAAAAAAATTTGCATTTTAAATTCACGAATTTGTGACGAGAAGAGAACAGTACTATGTAAATTGAGATCATCACAATTTTATATAGTACTCCCTTTATATCATTTTCGAAATCGATAAAATCTCATTTCTAATGCATATAAAGCATATGCATTTTATGGTCATAGCTAGGTTGCAATACAGCAGCCGGGCAGCAAATGCCCCCGATTATCTGCCATTCAGAGATTAATTCGATTTGCAAATTAGCCGTCAATGTGCTGGCTATGTGCGAAGCGATGCTAGTATGTCTGTTTTGTTGAACAGTCAGATTGAAATTGAAACATTTAAAATGCATTCATATGCATAATACCTTGGCAAAATGTACCATATGCAAAGATAGCCTATTCTGAAATGTGTCGCCACAAGAAAATTACATTTTGTGGCTTATAGGAACATATGTTTAGGCAGACACACACACACACACCCAAGCGCACCAGACACGATAAATTCCCGATTTATTAGCGCGGTCACACAAATTGTGAAATGATGTTTCGGTGTATGCAACATGTTCACTCGTTGCCAACACATAGCAACAAGTATCATCAAATGTATACTATTATTCACATGGGTCTTTTTTTCCCTATGACTGCATCCGCTTGGCGAGTTTTCGCTCTTTCTCACAACATGTTCGGTATTTGACTCGTTTTTTTTTGTTTGCAGCACTTTTTCACTCACACACACATTATGTGATGAGACGTGTCGTAATGAATTTATCATCTATGTCAAAAAGTCTGAGGCAGAAGAACTCCGAATCACTCTCACCAAATGAATACGAAATGAATGATTTTTTGATGACTATAATTACCACCAACAAATCATTCGATAAATTGAAACAAATTGCCATTTTCATGAAATCTTTTTTCACAAAATCACCATCACCACCAATTCGTTAAAAACAATTCAATAGATATTCACGCTGCATGAGACACAAATTTTGGCAATATCCCAAAAATGCCATTTTTTTTCATTTGATAGAGAGGAAGCGCCAAACCATTTACCAAGAATGTGATAATAGCCGAGATTACATCATCGTGTTGCTGGATAATTTGAAAGTTGTGTGTTGAAAACTTTTATCCGGATTTGAAGTTAATAAGACAAGCGTTTATTATTGTGTTGATATGGAAATGATGTTGATTAGCATCATTTTGTGGACTATGTTGGCATACAAAGATGCAATGGGTTGCAAAAACTTTGCGCCGAACATCTCTCGGAAAGTTTTGTTTCATGAAAAATGCTAATTTACTTATACGTGTAGAACAAGAGCTAGGTTGACTGAAGAGGTAGACAATGAATGGCGCAGTAATATTGACAATACTGCAGGCACCAAATATAGCAAAAATCAAAGAATTTGTATGCATTGTGTGAGCGTTTCAAAATCATATCGCGAGAGCAAGAACATGTGCAAAGCACGGAACGGCTATTTTCATTGCGCATTGAAAAAGACAAAACACAACATATTTGTTTAATGTTAGCTGTAATATGCATGGAATAATAAAATGTTGCTTCGCTTGAAAACCACAATTCACATGCAAAAAGTTATATCATATTCATCATATATCATTCAATGAGAGTATGTTTCACACTGACAATGTCGGATGCGCGTTCTATCTTCATACGGTATAGTTTTGCAAACAATACATAAAATGCAAAATGATGGTTGGGAATAAAATGGAATGAAAGTTAAATGACATTCAATTTACATGAAATCATAATTCGGTGTGTATGAGTGTGCTGTCCTTCTGTGGCAACCGTGCATTTATACCAAATTTTATCGCATTTAAACGAATATCATTCATCATTATGTGGAATAATGTGCGTGCACTAACTGCAGAAGATACGTTCAAAACAGCTACCAACACCGATAAACTCTTACCATTTCTATCTCAATCCTCTCTCTGTGTGTGTGCCTTGAGATCCACGGTGAAATTCTCAGCGGTCGTAATTTGTGCACCACATATTCTTCGTGTTTTCAACCGAGGGCACACTCACACACACACATCTTTTAAGCTCCGTACCGCCAAAAACATAGTAAGCATTTGTAGTTAGCAAAATGATAAATTCCATTGTACTACATACGCTGAGCAGCTGCCACTGAAATTTGTTACTTTACAGCTTTGCCGTCGAACGAAGAAGCAAACATAATTCCGAATAATTTATTCGATGTGAAAAAACACACACACGAAAATTAAAATCACACATGCAACAACCTCACCGCTATTAAATGCTTCTCTTCGAATTTTCAACGACCATATGAAAATGATCGCATTCGCACTTTGCAGTTAGCTAGTTTGTACGGCGCGTCGTCATTTAGCATATATCACCGTCTGTTCGCTTCTTATGTAGAAATGCATGCAATTCACTATTTCACTCTAAAATTATTCAAGTATTTATGTGAATTAATTATTTATACATTTTAAATTAAACTTTAGAAGTGCAAGTTTTCCCCCATCGAGTTGAGCATTAATTTTTCGCTTTCCATTCTTTTTCTGTTTCGGTGCGTTGCGTTGATATATTTTTGTTTATGTTCATTTACTGTTCCATGCTCTTTTTCTTTTTTCATTACCGTCTTTTTCGCTTTGTTTGCGTTAAGAAATCATTGCACGTTAGCAAACAAGTAAAATAACATATTTTTATTATGTTTTTCAACATAAAAAACGCATGCACTTGATATTGAACAGCGGGATGCTTGAAGGAAATTAAACATTTATGCAATAAATCAACCCATTTAACCTGCAGACGAATTAAAATTTTCCACTCACGAAGCATTACGTTCAGGTGGTAAAAAGCTTTCTAATAGCTTTACCATATTGGATTTTCGTGTCTTAAGCTTCTTCTAAATTGAATTTCAATTACCGGTTATTATTAGTTTCGGCATCGGATAATATTATCAAATAATAACTTAAATGTTACCAAAATCAATGTTCCGTTGAACAAGAATTTTAAGTGGATTAAAGTTTTCTGATTATTTCGAAACAAATTTATCTATACAATAATGTTCGCATTCGGGGGTTTTTCAAACCCGTAACCGACCCATACCCGGAACCAGGTCTGGGAATCTTTGGGTTGTCGCCAACTCATCGGGTTAGGATGTCGGTGTGTTCCTGTTCCTGTTTGTCTGAAAATCCCCAACAAAAAGAAAAGCGTTTTCATAGCTCTGTCTCAGAAACACACTTTTCTTGGTCTCGTCCGATCTCGAGGAGTCGGCTCCGAAAATTATCGGTCGGGTGTCGGTCTGGCGTCGTGTGGCAATTGGAAGTATCGGTTGAGATTATGAACATTGTATAACAAAAGCATAGTTCCGAGTGGTTGTCGCATTCGATTGTCAATTTTGTTAAATTAATCATTTTTTTAATTGAATTTTGTTGGGGCAAAACGAAGATTCATATCTGGCACTTATTTTCCGGTTGTCGTGCGACGAAATTTTTGGTCGTAAAATCCTTTCATGTTATTGCAATGACTTATTGTTACTGAACTAAATTGCTTTATATGTCACTTCGCATAATAGAGTGGCAAGGCGTTCAATCGATTTATGATACCATAAAACTCAATTATTGTTATTATTTTATCGATGTATTCCATTTGTTTCAATATGATTTAATGCATTCGATGTATGGTAAATTTGCTTGAATGTTATAAAATAATTCATGTTCTTTTGTAAATCCAATTACTGTAAAGTACCGACCAACTCAAAATCATGTGGTGAGGTGAAGTTTGTTTTCCAAGCTTGTGTTTGCTATTGTCATGACTGAATACGGTAGTTGTCATTTTCATAAGCAAACAAGACCCACTTTTACTGACTGACAGTTGCTCAACTCTCTCTGTTTCTATTATTTTTGTTTTCGAGCTGTATGTGGCATGATCAGATATGATAATAGTTAACACTGTAAAATAAGCTTGGCTTTCAACACACTTCACTGCCATTCGAAAATAATAATCAAGATATGTGAAAATAGTATTCATTTCATATAATCTTCTCTTGATTTTCAGCTTTTCGTTTTATTTTTATTTTTTTGGTACGTTCATATGAAAGTTGTGTCAAGTTGTGCATGCTGCGCAACAAATTCACTTGGACATTCTATTATTTTGCCATTCAAAGTATATTACCCCGAATATGTATATATTTATTACAAAGTGTCTGATAATATAAATAGTGTATTATGTCTGATGTTATCATTTCGTCTTCTGTTCTTATAGTCTTTTTTTATAAATGTGTCAACAATGTTTCCGTTGAAAAGATCACACACATATCTATGTATAGTCGTACAAATCGTTGTGTAAATTCCTTGAAATGAATCCAAATGACACATACACACATTATTATATTTTGTGTCTCTCTGATAGAAAGTCTAGTTCGCATTATGTATCTGATTCCTGTATATTTGAATGTTGCGCTACA